TGCATCTTATACATGGGGAAATACAGTAACCACATTTTATAAATGTGAACACTAGGTTTTACAGAAGTCAAGTAACATGCCAACAGCTAGTGAGATGCACAGCCTGGATGTTACTAACTCCTGCTGTGACTCCAAAATCCATAAGCATAACCTCTAGGCATACAGCCAAACACAACACTGTCTTCTGGGAACATTAACAAACGCATTTCCTGTTCGTTAATATCTGTAACACTGCTCTTAGCTGTTCCTATACACCACTGGTTTCTCCCTTTCTGTAAATGTATGTATTCCTAAAAATACCTTCCTTCCTGTCTGTTCTTCTCGACACATTCCCTTAAATTCATTTAACAAGCAAGCATTTCTTTTATTGAACCCATAGAATTCCAGACACCATGGAAAAACAATGAAAAAGAAATAGTCCCCGGCCTTAAAGTATTTACAGACTATTAGGGGAGAAAGCCTAATAGGCAGGTCCAATATACTGTTCTCAAAAAAGAAGTCTGTCTGTATAAACACAGAAGTGAATCTGTGCCATACAGCACTGATTTTCAAGCTTTTTCTGAGAACTATACTTTTTAAAGAAAACTTGCTTATAATTTCCAAAATAGGATAAAAGACCTAGAACTTCTTTGATCCACTATCCTCCACCCCTCACATGCCATGTTTCTTCCAAAGACTCATAGGAACTCAGTTTGAAAACCACTATATTCTCAAATCTTAAAGTTTTGCCTTTCACATGTAGGTCTTTAATGTACCTGAAATGGATTTTTGTGTATGGAGTGAAGAAGGGCTCCAATTTCAATTTTTCCATAGGGATATCTAATAGTCCCAGTACCACTTATAGAAAAGTCCCTCCTTTGCCCTCTGCTCTGTAGGAATACTTCTATAAAAAAAATCACATTCCTGGATACATGTGTATCTGAATTTGGGTACTCTATTGTTTTCCACTGCCCTACCACTATGCCAATGCCAAACTGTTCTAATTACTATAGCTTTATATATAATAAATAAAAATATCTCATAGATCAAGTCCTCTCACCTTGACCTGATTCTAGAAATGTGTCTTGGCTATATTCTGAGTCCTTTACATGTCCATATATATTTTAGAAAAAAAACATGTAATTTTAAGCTCCGCCTGGCAAACTGGTCAAATACCCACAAATCTAAATCAGTGATTCTCAACTGGGACAATTTTAACACCCTACTCCCCTAACACCCCCACACCCCCCTACACCCTCCCACACACACATATCAGTGGCATTAAGCTATCTCTGGGGACATTTCTGGTTGTCACAAAAGGGGTGGCAGGGGGACTACTAAGGGCAGCTAGTGGGTTGAGGCCTGGGAGATGAGGCTAAACATCCCAAATGCACAGGACATTCCCATAACAAAGAATGATCCTATACAAAATGTTAATTTAGTGCCACTGTTGAGAAACCCTGCCCCAAATAAATCAAAGGGCAAATACGTATGGGCCCATTATGGGGTAGGGAATGTCTACCAAAAATAATAATTTAGTTTTAGAAAAACTGGACTGCCATGTGCCAAATA